CCCTCTGGCATCCTGTCCGCTACTGCAGAAACCTGTCCCCCTGCCTTCCCCACTACAGAAACCTGTCCCCCTGCTCCCCTCTGCAGCCTGTCCCCCCCTCCAGCACCCTGTCCCCTGCTGCAGAAACCTGTCCTTCTGGAACTCTGCCCCCTCTCCTCTGCCCCACAACCTACTAGCACCCCACCCCAGTACTGTGTCCCCTGCTCACGACTGACTTTTCTATGGGTCAGTGACTTCAGACTCAAGGCAGGTTCCTTGCCACTCTCATAAATAAAGACAATGCAGAAACTTTTTGTGTTTGACATAGTATTTTATTTAAAAATGAAGCCTGGCCAACAAACCCAACTGGGGCCAAGCCCCCATCTGGCCACAACCACTCCTGCATTCCCCCTTCCCCAGACCTTAGATCTAAGCCTATCAAACACTGGAACCCCCTGCCCTGAGCCCCTCACATACCCCAACCCAAATTCCTGCACCCTCACATTCACAAACCTGTGGCTTACTTAGTACCCCAACCCCCACCCCGCCCCGCCCTGAACCCCCCTCCCGGAGCCAGTATCCCCTTCTCCACCTCTTCCTGCATCCAGATTTCCTCCTAGAGATTGCACCTCTCACCCCTTTCCACCCAAATCCATCATTCCCACCCCAGAGACTACACATCCTGTCTCAACCCAGCGACTGCAGGAGTTTTTCAGGATTCTAGAGATATCCCAGAAAAACTCTTCTGCATCCAGGGTTGCGTTTGTTCCGCTTTTTTTAGTGGAAGAGAAAACATGTTCTTTTGATCACCCCTATAGTCCTCTTTCCACGACAAATAAGGGGGCTTCCAAAAGAAGGATTTTTTTTCTGACATTTGGTCCAGTCTAGACAGGTCAAATGTTGGAAAAACCTCTTCCTACAGAAGATTTTAAAAAAAAAAAAAAAAGCATCAGTATAAGGGTTGTGGATAGCAGCTCTGAACTGTGCACCTGCACTGTACATTTACATTAGATTTCCTCATTTGAGGAGCAGCTACTCACCGAGCAACAGCACAGGCGAGGAGCTGCGAGGAATGGTGGGAATTTTTTTTTTAAAGTAGCAGTATAAGGATTGGGGATAGCAAGTGATGGAAAAGAGGAGAATAGAGAGGGTGGGGCTTCAAGGAAGGGGCGGGGCAGTAGATCTTGGTTTGGTCTGTCATTTAAAAAGTGATCTTGGGTGTAAAAAGGTTGGAGACCATTGCCCTAGAGTAACTTCCTTTTTCAGGAAAAACTTAAAAAACAACAAACAGTCTAGTAGCGTCTTGAAGACTAACAAAACATGTAGATAGTATTATGAGCTTTTATGGGCACAACCCGTTTCTTCAGATGACACGAGTATTAGAAGTCCAGATTGAAGAATAAATAAGGGCGGTGGGAAGAAGGAAAAAGGAGGGGAGGAAAAAAAAAAAAAGACAGTGAGTAGATAGTTCAAATAGTTACAAGAGGCGGATAAGAACAATTAGCACGTCCATTGTTACGCTGGCTGGTTAAGTCATTATGATGTGGAAGACAGTGTGTGAGCCAGCCAATATTCTGGTTCATACCATT